CCATGGAGGTTTTTGTAGTCATCGATCAAACCTGAGAAAGTAGAATCACAGGTTTCACCAGAGAGTCAGAGCAGAATCAGCAACGGTCCCTGAGAGGGGCATCAGATGACAAGGCATCCAAAACCCCATCTCCCTTCTGGGCCCCTCAGCGTCTGAGAACCACCGACAGCTCACCCAAACCTCCTGGGCCTGTCTCCTCCAGGAGCCCTTCCCCACCCGCCCTGCCTCGCTGCTGCCCCCAGCTGTCCACCCTGAAGACGCACCCCGCGGCATCCTAGTCCCTCTTTGCTGGGAACATTCTTCTGGGCCCACGGTCCTTTGTGGAGCGGCGTCACTCCGTATGGAGAGACCAACCAGGCCCCACACGTGCTGCCTTGGCAGGAAGGAGGCCCTCTGGCTTGCCCGCTGACAGAACGGGGGCAAGGCTACACCTCAATGACCTCCCTGCCTGTCACATGGGACACTGAGTGTCACATGGCTGACAGCCCCAGGCACTCAACACTTGACAGAAATGACCCACAGCCATCCCCCCAGGAGAGAGGAGGGATGGTCTGGGGCCCCAGCTCCAGCACAGTGGACTGCCGAGACCAGCGCAGGGCCTTCCCGAGGACACCCATGGAGGGCTGTCCCAGCGCAGGAACACCCAGAGGCTCCGGGGCACTACAACCCGGCAGCTAGTAGAAAGCCCGTCCCCCCACGGCCCCCCAGTTACATCATTCCCCCACCAGAGGCCCTGCCCCCACACCCCAAGAGAGCCACGTCCAGACCTGGCGACGCCTCAGGGCGAGTGGGATGAAGCCCGAGAAGCGGCCCAAAGGAGGTACCGGCACACCTAGACTCTCCCCTACACCCCTTTTCCAGTCCTTAACCCTTCTCTTTGTAGGAATAACTTTAAAAGGATTTTTTTAGAGTGCAGAAAGCCCAACTTGCGACTAAAAATGGAAAAGTTTGGAAACTGAGGCCTGGGGAGTCTGGGTCTGGAGTACCAAGGGGGGTGTGACTGTGCGGAGAAATGGAGCGCCTGGGAAGAAACACCGCCCCCGCCCGAGTGCGCTTTGCCACCTCGCGCCAGAGCCCCCGCCCCCCGCCCGTCCGGGCCGGGGAGCGCGGGGACGCGGAAGACTTGTCCGCCCGTGGGCGCGGGGGGCCGCCTCCGGCCGGCTAGTAAGCGACCGACCCGCCGCAGCGCCGGAAGGGTCTGCGTTGTTCGCCCACCGAAAGCCGGGCAGAGCGCCGACCCGGCCGGCCCGGAAGCCCCTCTGCGTCTCCCACCTCCTGTCTGACGCTGCCTGCCTCCCCACCCGCCCCCGCCCGGCCGTGGGGACTGCGGGCGGAGAGCGAGCCCGGTGAGGTGAGGGGAGAGGAAAGACACGCGACCCCCGCCCGGCCCGACCCACCCTGCAGGAGGCGGATCTGCCGCCGTAACAGCTCCTTTTCCTCCATCTCCGGAGACCGCGACGCCCGGCCAGCCCTCCGCGACGTCATCGCCGCGCGACCGTCTCCCTGTGGGCGGGGCGGGGCGGGGCGCGGGAGGCTCCGAGACTGCGCACGGGGGCCGGGCCCGGGCCGGGCCCTCCAGGGACGTACGGTCGCCCTGGCAACGCCCGCGGGATCGCGCACGCGCAGAGCTAGGGACCAGGAACCGTCAGGACGGCGGGCAGAGGAATCCCTGCTTCGCGCTCGAAGGAGCGGGCTGTAGGTGGTCACCTGCTGGAAGGGCTCTGGCGGGCTTCTCCGCCACCGGCTCTCTCTGCCTGCGGGGCCGGGCGGGGGACGGAGACCCGGACCCCGCCCCAGCCTAAGTTCCTTCCCCAGTCCCCACCTGCCCTCCATCTCTGTGCCTCCTCCGCCTACCCAGCCTGCACCGCCTTGGGGATGTCTCCCCGCAGGCTCTCCGGTGGGACAGATGATTGGCAGGCTAGAACCACGCCCCCTGGGTGCCCCCTTGCGGTTATCCCGGTGTGGGGGCAGCGGGAAATAGCTGGGAGAGAAATGCGAGAAATGCCCTCGAGACCCCGTAGGTCCTTCACCCCAGCATCACATCCCGCGTGGACCCTCAGACCCTGAGACGGATCCTCCCGGAAGAAAAGGTTATGCCTGCCGCTCCCTTCATCAGGACAGCTCCACGAGGCTCTCAGGGACCACGACGGATGGGTGGCGTGACTTTCACGACAGTCTTCCACATGCCCTCCTACTGGGCAAAGCTCGGGCAGTATCCCCGCCAGCGCCTGCGTGGAAGAGACCCCAGCTGGGGCACAGGAGCACACTCACGACCCCTGAATCAGGACCGAGGGGCTGCTTCCCCTGCGGAGGCCCAACGGGGTGGGCTGAGTGCTGTGTCCCCCACCCCCCGCCGACAGAAAACCCGGGGTGCTAGGCAGGACACAGCAGGCAACAGGGCCGGAAACCCCAAAAGGAAGCAGGACGGAGAGGGAGCGCCGGGGAAGGTCGCCTTGAGGCGGGGCCTGGGCAGTGGGATTTCCAACCAATTGCGCCGGCCCGCTCCTGTGAGCCTCCGGGTGACTCCGAGCTACCAGGGTAGTTTCTCCGCACCGCCCCCGCCACCTCTGCCAGGCCTTCCTGCCCTCCACGCTTCTCCGGATTCCCAAGATGCCTCTGAACCTGCTCTGGGGCCGCCCGAGCAGGGCGCCTGCTGGCCGCCGCCATTGCCCGGCGATCTCCGAACGTTGACTGAGCCCCCCACCGGCAGGGCCTGCGGACCAACCGTCGGAGCCGCAGCCCAAAGGGCACCGGGGGCCCGTCCTGGCCGCGCCCGAGGACCTGGGGCAGCAAGCGGGAGGGGGGCCTCGCAGGGACTCAACTCCCCAAAGGAAAGGACTTTACGGACTTCGTCTGCGCTCAGGCCCCGCCGCCGCAGCCGGGCTGGCACCCCTTCCGTCCCGGCTGCCCTTCGCCAGGGGCACGGCACTCTGCAGAACTGTTAGCTGGGCACGAGTGTCAGGTGGCTCGGGGCCGGCTGACACCTGGGCACAGGCGGGGCAGGGTGCTGGAAGGGTGAAGGGGGCGGGGCTGTCCTGGGCGTGGCCTCCCCTCCGGCTCGTGCTCCGGAGGCTGTGCTGGACTCCCGGGAGCCCGCCCTCTCGCCCACCCGCCTGCCCGGTCTCTCTACGGCCCTAGACCTCCCGGCCGCCCCTGGCTCGGAGCCCAGATCTAGGGCGGAGCCCACCGAGCCCTCCTGTGAAGCGTGGGTGTGTTCCTCAAACCCGCTGCCCCCTACTCGGTCTCACGGGGACCTGGCCTCTGTTGTTCCCTGCTGGCTCAGCACGCAGCGCCCTCTAACCCCAGTGACCCGTCTCCTCCGCAGTATCTCCCATCCGCTCCCTCTGCTCGCTCCAGTGCGCTAACCGGGTCGACTCTGAGATCTTAATAACCCGCTCCCTCCCTCTCAGGGACCCTGCCTTCCGCAGCGTGCTGGGCCAGGCACTAGACCCTCGTCCAGGTGGGTGCAGACAGGGGCCCAGAGACTTGTGCTTGCTCGTCCTTAGAGCCCGCCCAGCGTGGCTGGCCCCGCCCCCGGAACAGGCAGAGGCCCCCTCCCAGCCTCCCAGCCCTGGTCACAGCTGGCCATTGGAGTCATGGTGTCCTTGCCAGTGTTGGACCCCCAGGGCCTGCTCAGACCTTGTCCAGGGCGACCCCAAAGTTTCTGGCTGTCTGCCCCACCCACCTTTGCTCCGCCTTTTCTCCCCAGCAGGCACACTCCCTGCCCCTCAGGCTGACCTCTGTCCTCTCTGAGTCAGAAACCCGGGCGGCACCACCGCTCTCAGCCGTGCTGCTTGTTTGGGTTCTTGCTAACGAGCTGAAGATGTAACAAGAAATAGCACGAGCCAGGCGGCGCCCAGCCCCGCCCAGCCCTGGGTCCCTGCAGCCAGGCAGGTGGGTGCAGTGTGCCACGCTGTCCCGAGTTGCCGTGTGGATGGCACCTCTGCCTCAGACTGAGTTCCAGAGCTGTGCCGCCGCCTCCACCCCATTCTCCCATGCAGCAGCCAAGGCCTTCTAGAAAAATAAACCAGCCCTGGCTGGTGTGGTTCAGTGGATTGAGCGCAGGTTGCGAACCAAAGGGTCACGGGTTCGATTCCCAGTCAGGGCACATGCCTGGGTTGCAGGCCAGGCCCCTAGTGGGGGCCATGTGAGAGGCAACCACACATTGATGCTTCTCTCCCTCTTTCTCCTTCCCTTCCCCTCTCTCTAAAAATAAATTAAAAAAGAAAAAGAAAAGCCAGGCTGGTCAAATCCCTGCTGGACACCCACAGGGTGCGTCTGGCCCAGGGCCCTCAGCTGTCGGGGACTTCTGCTCGCACGGGACATTTCCCCTCCGCGGGACTGGACCTTTCTGGGCGCTGCAGCTGTGCCACCGGCACAGCAGGTCGCCTCCCGGGTCACTGTGACAGCCGCGTGGGAAGAGCACTCGGCACACGCGTGCTGATGGGGCGACCGAGCGTGCAGAACCTTGGGGGCAGGTGGGCGTGCAGGGCCAGCAGCCCCGGTGCGGGCTCCACACCCACCGAGAGGCGAGACGAGGAGCGGGAGGAGGGCCATGGGGCCGCGCTGCCTGGCACCAGACAGGGCTCGCCTGAGGCCCAGGACGGTGAGGGTGTTGAGGGGCCTGTGCGGGGCCTGGGTAGTGTTGCCTGGCTGCCCGTTGTCTCAATACCCGCCTTACGAAGACGAAGACGGAACTCAGCCCTGGCTGGGTAGCTCAGCTGGGCAGAGTGTTGTCCCCGCACACCAAGGTTGTGGGTTCGGTCCCAGTCAGGGCACATACAGGAGTCAATCAACCAATGAGTGCATGGATCAGTGGAACAACAAATCCATGGCTCTCTCTCTCTCAAATCAATAAATTTTGTAAAAAGATGTAACTCACATGCCATATAATTCACACATTAAAGTGTGAAACTCCACGGGTTTCAGCACATTCAGGGTTGCGCAACCCTCACCGCAACCGGATAGAACACTTTCATGCCGTCCCCACCAGCTAACCCTCCCCCTGCGCTGCCCCTGGCAACCACCTGCGCCTCCTCTCCTTCTCCACGGATTCTGCGGCTGTGAACACCCCCGAGCCGTGCGCTGGCGCGGGGGAGACACTGTCTTCCGAGTTGACTCCTTTCACTCGGGGTGACATTGCGCCGTCCCTGGATGCTGTCCCGGCGTCAGGACGTCGCTCCTTTCTGTGGCTGCCTACCACTCCGTGCGGCCCTGCGCCTACGGGTTCCCCGTTTCCTTTGCGCGCATGAGCCCTCGGACATGGGGGTGTGTCCAGGTCTTGGCGGTCTCGGGCAGTGCTGTAGGACCCCTCGCGGGCAGGCTTTGCGAGGATGAGATTCCTCTCCCTGGGGCCCACACCCAGGAGTGGGCTGGATGAGGTGGTGCTAACGGGCTCCCCGCGGTCGCCCGGTGGTCTAGCGCCGCAGGCGCGGCTCGGGGCTCCCTCCCCCGCACGCCTAACGGGTGTGAAGCCGCATTTCACGGTGGTTCGATTCGCACCTTCCCATGTGCTTGTCGGCCGTTCGTACTTTTTCTTCGAGAAATGTCTGCTCGGCCCCTCCGCCTGCTCCAAAGTTTTAGAAAGAAACCGAGGAGCCCGCGCCGCTGGCGGGCCGGCGGCGGCGGCTCAGGCATTTCCGGGAGCGCAGGGAGGTCTCGCGCAGCCACCTCTGGTTTCACTTTTGGGTCGGGCTTCCTGCGGGCTGAGCTGAGCGAGTCCAGAGCGCAGTCCGGGTGACCCCGGCCCAGGGCTTCCTCGCCTCCTTCCTGGGCCTGGAGCCTCGGCGCCACGGCTACGGTGAGTGAGCTGCACCCCGCGACCCCTGGCGCCCCAGTAACTCCGCTCTTCCTGGGTGGCACGGCGACCTGGCCCCGGCACCGTCCCAAGACTCCCCACAATCGCGGACCGCTTGAGGAAGCCCGGGGATCCTGGGCGGGGGGCCCCTCCGCCGGCCAGACGGGATTTGGGCTGGAATCCAGGGCGGGTCTTCCGGGCGCCCCTCGGCTCATCTCTGACTTCAGGCGGGCCCAGGGGCCCAGCGACCTCCTCCCGGAGAGCAACGGGCTGGCAGCTCTGCGGCCCGGGGCCCAGGTCTCCTGAGTCCCGGGTCCCCCGCCACCGCGTTGGTCCCTAACCCTGAAATCTCGGCCTTGGACAAGTGGCTTGTGAAGCCTGGGCCCAGAGAAGCCCTAGTGGACGTGCCCAGGAGCTGGGCATCCCGTCTAAGTCCTGCTGTGGACCCCTGGGCCGAGTCCCCGGAGGTGGGGGCTGGTTTCTTCCCTCGCCCTCTGGGCGCCTGGGGGCGGGCAGCCGCCACAGCAGACAGAGCGTCGTCCTGGGGTCCCTGCAAAGCCCCTGCCTCACCCCACCCTGGCTGGGGGTGGCCCTCCGCCTCACTGGGCTGACGGAGTGATGGAGCCCTTGATGGGCAGCCCGGAGCCCCCCGGCCCCGGCCCCCATCACCCGACGTCCGGGACTCGCTTGGACCCGCGGGGCAGGGCCTGACCCGTGCGCCCTCCTCAGGAGCATGTCGTCCGCCTTTGAGCGGGTGGTCAAGAGCGTGGGGCTGGAACTGGACCCGGGCCGAGAGCTCGTGCCCATGCACAGCCTGCAGAGCTCCGCCAGTTTCCAGCCCTACCGCCTCCTGAGCAGGAAGCCCAGCTCCAGGTTCTTCAGACGCTACACGCACGTCAACCTGTCCGTCAGGGACATCCTGGAGCCCGACGCACCGGAGCCAGGTACCCGCCGGCCGAGGGCCGGGAGGGCCAGCCTGCCACCTGCTCCGGGCCCGTTCGCCTGGGGTCCCTGCGCCTGGGGGGGACGGGCGCGGGGGGCTGGGCCTCAGCTCCGGTCTCCTTCCAGCCGTCGAGCACGTCGGCCCCTTCCACTTCCAAGATGCCGTGGACGGGCACCTGGGGGGCAGCGTGGAGGTGGCGGCCCCGGGGCAGGGGAAGATTGCCGGCGGGGCCGCGGTGTCTGGCAGCTCCAGCGCCTCCATGAACGTCTGCAAGCTGCAAGTGCCCCCCAACAGCTGGGTGGCCATGCTCCGGGAGAGGTGAGCGGTCGGGGCAGGGCCCAGGGAGTGCCTCCAGGGCCAGCAGGCGTCCACCTGTCCCTGCCGGGCCCTCGTCCCTCCTCCCTGCACCCCCACTCACCCACAGACACGGTCAGGAGTGCCTGGGGCCGGAGTGACGGCCACCCCTCCCCACCGAGCTCCCTTGTCGTCCCCCCGGTGGGCACAAGGACTGAGGCCCGGGGCAGGAAAGCCAGCGCCTCGGTGCGGGGGGAGGGCGGGGGAGGGCGGCGCGCCCCCTGAGCCCCCGACCCGCCCGCCTTCCGCCACAGGCGCCTGCGGCAGCCTGAGCACAAGGTCCTGCGGGAGCTGCGGAGCCGCGGGCACGACGTGTTCGTGGTGACAGAGGTGCTGCAGACCCAGAAGGAGGTGGAGGTCACCCGCACCCACAAGCACGAGGGCTCGGGCCAGTTCTCGCTGCCCGTGGGGGTGTGCCTCCAGGTGCGAGCAGGGGGCCGGCAGCGCAGCGGGGGGTGGGGCCGGGGGCCGGGAGCGCGGGGGGAGGGGGCCCTGTCGCCAGCCTACGGCCACCTCCCACGCCAGAGCCCAGCTCTGAGCCCAGGTCCACCCTTCAGGGCGAGGGCAAGGGCCACCTGAGCCGGAAGAAGACGGTCACCATCCCCTCGGGCAGTGTCCTCGCATTCCGGGTGGCCCAGCTAGTGTTCACTGGCCCTGAGTGGGGTGAGTCAGGGTTGGGGTGACCCCTGGGGCCCGGACTCTGGGGCAAAGACACAGACTCTGAGGCCTGGGCAGAGCCATCAGCCGGCTGGGGGCGTGCAGGCCTCTGGCCGCAGGGTGTCCTGAGCGGGAGGCGGGCGAGGGTCCCGCGCTCCGGCAGCGTGCGGGAGGCGTGCAGGGAGCCCCGCGGGCGAGGGCAAGGCCAGGAGCCCTGGCCGGCGCCCCCTCCATCTCTGTTCCTGCCCGGCCGCCAGACGTCCTCTTCGTCCCAGAGAAGAAGCGGAGGACCTTCACGCCGCCCCAGACAGGTGAGGCCCCTGGACGCCCCCCAGGCTTGGCCCTGGCCGCCGGGCGAGCGCCTGACCCCGGAGGCCATCTCCCGCCCAGTGCGGTGCAGCCAGCGGGCGCCTGAGGGCGGGGCACGTGCTGGTGTGTGTGTGCAGGCGTGTGCACCAGCCTGGCAGGGCCGTGCCCCCGCCCCGGGCCACCGGTGTTGCAGTGGGTGGGGGGGCTGGGAGGGCGCAGGGGGGGCCTGAGCCCTCTCGGGCTCGGGGACCCGCCCCCGCCCTGACGAGCTCTGTTGCCGCAGGTGACCAGCCGCAGCCACAGTCCTCCCTGTCCTCCCTGCTGAGGTCCCTCCGTGACCGCCTTGACTTCTGGTCGGGTCAGTACCTTCCTGAACGCCCCTGGGGCCTCCGCTTCCTGACCAGGACTCCCCGGGGCCCCGTGGACACCCGGGTCACGCCAGCCCTGTCCCCACAGACGGGCTTGGTGAGGACCAGATGGCGTCCACGGAGGACTTCCGGGGCCTGCAGGCCGAGGCGAAGGCCTGGGCGGGGCTCCTGGAGAGCCTGTCGAAGACCCTGTGTGAGCAGCTGCTGGGGGGCCTGGGGCAGCTGCTGCGGGACGAGCCGGCCCTGCACACCCTGGAGGAGTCGGTGAGCGGGGCCCCGAGGCAGGGGGCCTGGGGACGGGGGCAGCCGCACCGGCCGCCAGGCTCACCGGCCCCCTGTGCCCCCAGCTGGAGCAGGGCCTGTGCTGTGGGCGGGCAGAGCCTGTGCAGGGCCCGGCGGGCCGTGTCCTCGAGTGCCTGGTGCTCCCCTGCCGGACGCTGGTGGAGGAGCTTGCAGGCCCGGTCGCCTACTTACTGGGAGCGCTGGCTGGTGAGGGGCCCCTGGGGGCGGGGCACATGGGGGCAGGGCTGTGGGCTTCTCGGCTGGGCCCTCGGAGCCCCCCTCACCCCAGGTCTCTCCCCAGCCCTGAGTGGAGCCCAGCGCGTGCTGCTGGCCGAGGCGCTGGAGGCTTCGGCCCTGTCGGAGCCCCTCAAGCTGGTGAGGAGGCCCAGAGGGCGGAGAAAGGGCTGGGGCCGTGGGCGGGGGCCGGGGCACCCCTGGGAAGAGGGGGTGGGGGCAGGTTTTGGAGGCCCAGGGGCCCCGAGGACAACCCTCCACCGTGTCCCGGCAGGTGGAGGAGGTCTTGGAGCAGAGCTCCCCGTGGCAGGAGCGCAGGGCCCTGTCCCTGCCGCCTGGGTTCCTGGGGGACAGCTGGGGCCCAGAGGTGCCTGCCTGGACCCTGCTGGACGCCTGTGACCTGGAGCTGCAGGTGGACGCCCCCCAGGTGGGCTGGGAGCCGGCAGCCCAGGGCTGCACGTGTGCGCTGTACGCCTCCCTGGCCCTGCTGTCCAAGCTGAGCCAGCTCTGCTAGCTGGCGTCCAGCGTGGAGAGCCCCGCCCGGCCCTGAGGGCGCCCACCACAGGCTGTGGGGGGGGGGGGCAGCTGGGAGAAGTCAATAAATGGGAAGCACGAAGGCAATGGGGTCGCTGAGTGTTTGAAGGGCCCTCTGGGCGGGGTGGGGTGGGGGGTGGGGGTGGTTCCAACAGGACGAGTCTCCCGCTGCCTCGGGGACCTTGAGGACACACCATGGTGGGCGGGGGGCCGACCCTGGGCCCCTGGGGGCTGGGGCGCGTGTGGCTGACCAGCACAGGGGCCCTGCGCTCCTGGGGCTGCGGGGAGGCTTCTGGAGAAGCTGTGCCTCAAACCGGAGCAGCCGGCCTCCCGCCCGCGCCTCGCTCGCCAGGTGCGTCTGCTCGGAGGCCGCAGGATGCAGAGCACCGCGGGGACCCCGTGCCGTGGGGGACACGCCCTGTGCCCAGGGGTGATGGTGACCGAGCGAGCGGCAGGGAGTCTTCTCCGGGAGCCTGAACGGCCCGGAGGAGTTTGCCTTTCCTCGGAGGGGGCAGAGTCTGCCTTTCTCCCTGGGCGGGAGGAGGGGGCCCCTCGCCTGTCACGGCACTGACCAAACCAACAGCTTCCGGACTCACTGGAGAGGAGGGACAGTGGGCGTGGCCAGGACACGAGCCCCCACACGAACCCAGGACCTGAGTCCCACAGTGACGTTAACTTTAAAACTGGCCCTGGCTGGTGTGGCTCGGTGGATTGAGCACCAGCCTGCAAACCAAAGGGTCGCTGGTTCAATTCCCAGTCAGGGTGCATGCCTGGGTTGTGGGCCAGGTCCCCAGTAGGGGGTGTGCAAGAGGCAACCACACACTGATGTTTCTTTCCCTTTTTCTCCCTCCCTTCCCCTCTCTAAAAATAAATAAAGTCTTTTTTAAAAAGTGGGTACAGGAGTTCAGCTTCTGCGTCCCAGAAAAGCCGCCCAAGGGTGACAAGTCCTGGCCCGCTGCACCCTTGAGCGCTCCACCTGGACAGTCTGATTTTTGGCACTCAGGTCCTAGGCCCACCTGGGGCCTGGGCCCCCAGCCACCACCGGGGCTGCTTCAGCACCAGGTCGAGGCGGGAGGGCTGCCCTCGGAGAGCGGCCCGCTCAGATCCACGTCCAGCCAGACGGGTCGGCTCTGACCGGTGGCGCCGATGGACCTGGTCAGCCTGGGCACTCACAGACCAGGGATGCTCGCCTGGGGTGGGGCTGTGGCATTGTCACAGCTGTGGGGGCAGCCCTGGTGAATTCAGCAGGCCATGGAGACACGTGGGGCCTTCCGGGGACCCCAGCAGAGAAGTCCCCAAGAAGGGTCCCACTCCCAGGGCCCAGCAATAGTCTGGCCTTCAGGAACCTCCTTCTGGTGGGCAGAGCGTCCAGCGGGCTGCCAGGTACTGGACGGGGCCAACGTAGGGGCGGGGCGGGGCGGACACAAGACCGTGAGCGGGTGGCTGGCTGTGTTGTGCAAGAGATAGCCCGGGACAGGGCGGGGTGCGGGCTCCCCACAGAAGCAGCCAGCCCCCCCACCAGAGGTGGGCCCTCCTGTCCCCGGGGCACCACTGTGGGGTCGGCCACGGGCCCGTGCGTCGTGCTGTGCAGAGCGGATGAGCATGTGTCTGGCAGGAGTGGGCGAGAGCGCTCACCCTGGCTCCGGCTCCTGGTCTGCAAGGAGACGCTTCCACGGGGGGGTTGTCCATGAGGCTCCTGCTGAGCCAGCCCCAGCCCAGCCTGCGTCGGGAGGCTCCTTGCAGACTCCTGCTGCAGGACACAACCCAGCCCCACGCGGCCCCTGGCAGGTGACGGGCTGGCTGGAGGACGCCCGAGGCCAAGATAGGGCACACGCACTGCCTCCGGCTCCTCCCCGGGGGCCTGAGGGTCTCCTGGCCCATCTGGCTTGTTCCCTGCCCCCCCCGCACACTTCACGTAGTTTAATCTCATCCGGAACTGGCTCTGCGGGACCTGAGCTAACACTTCAAACCTTGACCCTGGTCCCACATAGACCAAGCCCTAGGATGCCCTCCCTGCAAGGGACCCCGACCCCTTCCTTCTGATGGGGCTCCGACGCTGGCGCCCCGTGCTCCTGCCCGCACGAGGCCTTTTCTGTAACCCCATGCTGAACCCGACCTTGGACCCGGCCAAGTATCTGGACCACACCCTCCGCCCAGACCCACGCCCCAGACAGACACCGGGCCCCTCTGATCCACGTGGATTTACTTCAGATGCTTCCCCTAGGAGCCGGCAGGGCCCCCGGCCTTCCCCAGGGCCCCCCGGCCTTCCCCAGGGCCCCCCAGCCTGCAGGCTAAGGGGCTGTGTCCGTGGAGGCCTCTCCGAGGCCGCAGCTCGCAGGGAGGGGCTTGAAAAGCAGTTCCAGCAGGGTGGGGGGTGGTGGTGCTGGGTGGAGGAATCCTCCCACAGCCCTGTGCGCTCGGTCACAGCTTGGGGAGTCTGCAGGGGGGCTCCTTCCCCGGAGGTCCTGTCACAGCTTCTCATTCGCCCCCGCACAGGGTGCTGCGGTGCCGGCGAGCGCGCCCGGCCTGGTGGGGGTGCAGGTGCTGGCTCCCCACACGGAACCCACAGGTAGCACCCCAGGCCTGCAGTGTCCAGTGGAGAGGTCAGGGAGGCCCTCTGCAGAAGGCTCGGGTGGGGTCCGGTCTGACAGCTGGGAGTGGGGAAGTGTGCGGGAGACGGTGCCAGGATGCGGGGCGACAGGTGTGGGCAGGAGGTCAGGCCAGGGTGCGGGCTGGCGAGGAGTGGGCACATGACAGGGCTGGCGGGCGGCCAGCAGGGTAGGGGGGCCAGCGGGCGGGGGCGGGGGGCGGCCCAGGAAGCCGCGGGAGCTCCCAGGGCTTCACAGTGTCCTGCGCCAGACCCCTCCTTGGAAGGTCGGGCGTCACGCAGGCCAGGGGCTGGGCACGCTCCCGGGGGCCGGGAGGCCGCAGGCCTGAGGAGGGGTAGGTGCGCCCGCAGGCGCAGGGGCTCAGGGGACACGGTGCTCGGACAGAAGCGCTGACGTCCTCCTAAGGAGCGAGCCGCAGCAGCAGGGCGCCCCCGCCGAGGGGGTGCGGCCCTGGGGCGGGGCAACGCCAGCTTCCGCCCAGAGCCCCGGGCCGCCCCAGAGCAGTGGGGTGCCAGGTGCAGATCCTGAGCCCTCCCGGGGCTGGGCCCCCACCCAGAGGACGGCCGGGGCCAGGCTCAGCCGGGGCCGGGGCAGCCCCACCGCCCCGCGAGGCTCCGGCGCTGAAAGGGGCTGTCCGGGTAGACTGGAGGGGGCCGGGCGGGCGGGGCGGGGCTCCGGCGGAGACCAGGGAAGCGCAGGCCCCGCCGCCGACAGCCCTGTGCGCGGGCCAGCAGCGCCACCTGCTGGGAAGATACCTGCGCAACGGCGACCACGGCCGGCTCGGGGTCGCTCTGCAGCTGCCCCAGGCCTGCGGGAACAGTACAGTAGTAGCTCAGGAAGGGCCACCAAGCGCCCCAGGACTCCTGGCGCATGCATTCCCGCCCACGCAGCCCAAGCACCCACCGCCCCTCCAGGACGGCACACCCCGGCAAACTGGGCCCTCACCCTGGCACAGGGAGTCCAGCAGGTCCGAGCTGACGCGGCCAGGGCTGCTGTGATGGGCAAGGAAGCCTGGGCAGGGCAAACCTGTGAGAGCCGGCCCCACGCTCCCAGAACTCGGGGTGCGAGGGGCAGCGTGCCACCCGGAGCGCCTCACCTATGAGCACAGCAGCGGCCCGGCGCAGAGGGACCTCCGGGCTCCTCAGGTAGCCCTGGGTCTGGCTCAGGAAGCGGGGCACATGGCTCGGGTACCACTGAACCTGTGGACATAAGGGCTCACGGCAGGACGAGAGGACCGGTTCTGCACGCAGAGGAGGCGAGCGCCCAGGCTGGTGTCCCTGGGGAGCCTCGAGGGCAGGGGTCAGGGCCTGAGGTCTTGGACCTGCCACCACCTTGGCTGGGAGGGTGGAAAGACTCAGTCTGGGAGGAGAGAGTGGCCCCCGTGTGTAGTGGACTGAGTGGGCAGCTGGCCATACCCCGTCACTGTCCTGCCCCTACTGACCAGGCGCTGGCAGACTCGGCTTAGGGTCTCAGGGCTGTCGTAGTGGGCCACAGTGACCACCTCCTCCAGCAGGCCCCAGCGCAGGGCTCGGTCGCAGCGGGCCAGGGTCCACTCTGAGCTCTGGGACACCGGAAGGGAAGAGGGTTGGGGGCCCAGACAGTAGCAGAGGTGGCCGGAGTGTGGATAGCACGACGGTTGGGGAAGTCCAGGGCTGGCGTCCCAGGAACCTGGGAGCCCGAGAGGCCTGCCCTTGAGGTCCCCGGGGACGTCCCTGACCAGCCGCTACTTCCGGGGAGGCAGTGAGATTGGATGGGGACAGAAGCGCTGGGGCCGTCTCGGGGGGCGGCTGACCTCCGCAGCATCCAGGCTGGGGTCATGCAGGCGCAGCAGCAGAGGCACCAGACTCTTCAGCACCAGCTTCCGCAGGGGACCTCGGAGCCCCACCCGGAGCCCGCCCTGGCCGCGCCGCACCAGCGTCCCGAGGAGCCCGGCCGCCGAGGCGCGCACTGAGTCTCGGGCCTGCGTGCAAGACCAGCTGTCAGCGAGCAGGGTAGAGCCGGCAGCGAGAGGGGCTCGGGATACCGGCCGTCAGGGGGCGTGGCCTGGGGGTGGAGCAAGGAAACTGCGCCTGTTGGGGAGGGGGCCTAAGGGGGGGCCTGTGGAGGGGGCTGTGCCCTGGAGGGGCGGGGCCCTGGGGCGGGGCGGGGCCTGGGCGGGACCGGGCGGGGCTCACGTCGTCCAGCAGCGGTGGTAGACGCAGCCCCAGCTCCGTGCTCAGGCGTCGCACCGGCGCCCGCGGCTGCAGCAGTACCTTCCTTAGCGCGCCCAGCGCTGCGCCCACGAGTCGCACATCGCCTTCACCCAACGCACCCAGGAGCGCAGGCAGCAGCACGGTCACGTGTCGCACCTGCGCAGTCTGGGATTGTGGGCGGCCGCCCTCAGCCCCCGCCCAGTCCCACCCGGCCCTGGGCCTCACCTTCCCACGGTTCAGCGCGAGGTGGCCGAGGCCAAGCAGCCCCAGCCAACGCACTGTGGGCTCCGGGTCGCCCTGCCAAGCGCGGAGCCGCTCCAGGATGACCTCCTCCCGCAGGAGCCGCGTGGTGGGCCAGCTCTGCAACAGCTGGGTCGGGGGACGGGGAGTCAGCGCGCTCACGTTCCTGGTGCAGGTGGCGACGCTTAGGTGCCAAGTCCTCTGTCACCCTTCACCAGCCATCCCGGAAACGGGCTTACCCCAGTGAAGAAGGCCATGGCCGTGAGGCGCTGAGCGTCGTCGGCGCTGCGCAGCCGGGGCAGCAGGTCAGCGAACAGGCCCCGCAGGTGATGGTCCGCATGGGCCACCATGGCGCTGGGATGGGGTGAAATGGGAACTCTCCCTCTGCTTATGGCCTCACCCCTGGAGCAGCCCCTACCTGACCACTCCCCTGCCCGCACCTGGCCAGCAGCAAGACGCCCTCCAGGTGGGTGTGGGCTCCCACTAGCCTCCTCCAGCCTCCAGCCTGCTCCATGCACGTGACCACCATGCGGCTGCCGTCCCCGGTGAGCAGGGCCTTCAGGGCCTCCACTGTGCAGCTGGGTGCGGGGGCGGGGAGGGGGAGGCCTGTGAGGGGGCGGTGTTGGGCCGGCCCTCACCGCTCCAGTGCGTGGTCTTACCTCGTGTGGCTGCGCGGTGGCCCACGGTGGGACGGGGCCCAGACCTTGGGGGTGTCGGGGGAGCGTGGGCCCTGGGCCAGCTCGTGCAACTGTGTGACCAGTGCCAGGAGGAGGTGCGGGTAGAAGCCCCGTGTGGCGCCCACGCAGCCAGACACGGACAGCATCTCCCCAAGGGCGCGAGTGGCCTGTGGAGTGAGGAGCCCCCTCAGGCTCAGACACACCGTGGACGCTTGGGGGACGTGATGGATGGGTGGGACCCAGGCGAGACCCTCCTGCCCCTGGCCCCCGTGGCCCGACTCACCCGCCCCCTCGGGCTGGGGGTGGGGGCGAATCCCCTGGCAGTGCTGGCTGGAGTCACCTACGGCCAGGGCCTCCTGCTCGGGTCCAGCCGCGCCCTTCAGTGCCCACAGCAGCTGCACCAGCACCTGCCCGTTCACGCGCGGGTTCCGGCTCAGGCTGCGCCACAGCTCGGCCGCCGCCCTGGGGGTGTGGGGCCGTGAGGCCAGGTCCCTGCCGGCATGCCAGGAGACCCCAGGGTGGGGGAGGGTGACCACGGGGACTCCAGCAGGGGGAGGGACCGGTGAACCATGTCCCCCCCCCACAAGTCCCTCCAGCGCCAGAGGAACAAAGTAAATGGCATCTGTGCAGACCACACAGCACGGGGCCGCAGGGCCGGCTGCCGGAGTGCTCTGCTCAGGCCCCGTCAGACCAGCCACGGCGGAGCACACACGGTGTCACAGACGGTCACTCGGAGAGTGTGGCCGGACACCCTCGCCTGGGGCAGGTCACACCGAGGAGCCAGGGGTGTCGGGACACAGAAGCCACCTGGTCGCTGGCCCTAACCCTTACAGCACCCCCCTCGCCCCCCCACTGCGCTCCAGAGGTGACCAGGGGGAGAATTTGGGCCCCATGCCAGGAACCCGTCACCAGGGACCTCAAGGTGGGAGGGGTGGGGAAGCGGAGGGGGCAGGGGTGGGGGGGGAGGGAATTGGGAGGTCCCGCCCCCTCCACAACCGGCTGCGCTGGGCCAGACTCCACAGCCTCGCAGGAAGGGGAAGGACGCCGGGCGCGGCGGTGGGGGCGCGGCCCTGGGGGGGGGCGGGGGAGCCGGTTACCCGTCCGGGGGCAGCGAGCAGGGCAGCAGCGCATGCACCACGTCCCGGGAGTGCTCCAGGGCCAGCGAGCTCAGCACCCGCAGGGCTGCCCGCCGGGGCCGCCCCTCGGCCAGGCCGGGCACCTGCGCCAGCAGCCCGTGCACCAGGGCGTGCACCTGGCGTGGAGAGGCAGGTGTCAGTGGCCGGGCTGCCTGACTCCCGGGCGCTACCCTCCGTATCCGCTCCGGTCGGGGGCGGCCCGGAAGGGGCTTTTCTGCGTCCAACTGCTTGCTCCAGCCGCCCAACCGCGGAGGGGAACCAGGTGGGGGTTTCTGGGGGCGCAAGGGGGGCGCTGACCTGGTCCTCCAGCCGCTCGCCGCGGGCTTCCAGGGCTGAGGACAGGCTGAGTGCTGCCGCCTGTGTCCCTGCAAGGCCAGCCTCCTCCAGGCAGGCAGCTGTGTACAACGCCAGGTCGGAGAGGGTCCCCTCCTCCCAGGAACCATGGGGAGGCTACGGTGGGGAGTGGGGTGCATGAAGTCCCCTTGCGTCTCCCAGCTCTTCTCCCCAGGCCCCCTGCCGCCTCCCCAACACCACCGGCCCCTTGAAGTGCTCTGCTCTCGCCCTGTGCCCAGCCTGCTCAGCCCCCGTGCCTGTCCCCAGCTTCCCCTTCTTTCAATGCCGCGTCCCCCAGGCCGTCCCCTCAGCCTCTGTTCCCTCCCGCTCACCTGACGGGGCCCCTCGGGGGCCGAGTCCTGTGCATGGGGTGGGGAGCAGGGCTCCCGGGCGGCTGGAGGGATGGTGGGTGAGCCTCCAGGCTCTGCCTCGGGCTCCAGCTCCGGTTCGGGCTCAGGGTCCTGGGAAGGAGCTGCCATGCGCTCTCCCTGGCCGGCCCGGATCCCTTCAGCCAGCGCTGTCAGGGTTAGGGCCCCCACGGGGGCCCCCCGGGCCCTGCCCCACACACCCCCAGCCATGGCCACCGCCACACGCAGCCCTCAGTGGGGCTCAGCCTGCAGCACCTGCCCAGGGTCCTCCCAGGAAGCCCTGCCCAGGCCTGACCCAGAAGCAGGCGCTGGGTGGGTGGGGCCGGGTGTGGTCCTGTGTGTCTGCTCGGTGTCTGTGGGGGCTGGGGTCCGCCCAGAGGTGGCCCCAGGCAGGGTGCCGCTGGAGGCGGGAAGGACCCTGCTGCCTGGGGTGCTGGTGGTGGGGCGCCAGCCTGAGCCTAAGTGCCTGGGGTCTGGCTCTGCCCCCGCCGCCCCGGAACCCCGGAGAAAAGAGCGAGATCCTGGGGATGGATGGCCAACGTGCCGGAGAAAGGGGAGAAGGGCCCTTGGCCCTGACCTCCACCCCTCTGGGCAAGGGTCTCGGGGAAGGCACGGACAGCCCAGAGGCGGCCCCGGCAGGGTCCAGAAGTCTGGGCCTGGCCCTGAGCTGAGTCAGGTCCAGGCGGAACCACTGCATTCCTACCCAGCCAGACATCCTAGGGACAGGGGTGACGGGGTGAGCTGCCACCACCTCTGAACCTGGGGCAGCCCTGGGGCGGAGCCAGTGAGGCAAGAGGAGCTGCACCTGCTGCTTTCCAGGCACCCTTGCCGGCGACCGCCATCCTTGGGGCGCCCCCACCCCCAGGGCCGGACCACAGGGTTCCCGGGCTCAGGCACCTGGGCAGTGAGCACACAGCATGGCACAGGGGACCTGTAGGTACACCTCGGGGCCTGATTCTGCTGCTGTCTGCCTCCCAACCTCCACGCTCCCCAGGACTGACCAGGCCTCTGTCCCCAAGCTCCCGTCACCCTAACCCAGTGACGTAACAGGCATTGCCCATAGTGACCCTGGGGAGCCGGAAGAGCTGGTTGAGCCGAATACCTGGGCGGGCGGAAGTGCTCCGGCAGCACCCCAGCCTGCCAGCATTCCTGCACGCCCTCGCCCGCCCGGGCCACCCCCTGCTGCCCGGGCAGGACAGGCCCCGCCCCCACCCCCCCCTCCGTGCGCGCTCCAGGAGCCCAGAGCCTCTGCCCTGAGCAGCTCCTCCTGGCCCCTCAACCTTTTCACTGGCTCTCCCTTCCCAGGGCTGCTGGGCCGGGAGCTGGGTCCCCAAGGCTGGGGCCCGGCTGACCCCGAGACAGATGCCAGGGTCTGGAGAGAGCCGTACGGGCGGGGCACAGGGTCCCCCAGGCAGAGCTGTGCAGGCCTGGCAGCAGCAGGGGACAGCTGGGCTTCTCTTTGCCTTGGGAACCCCGAGGTACCCCGCTGACCCAGGTGTCAGGCCTGGACACAGGAGACCCCCTGAGTGGCGCCTCACCCCCACCCCATGGCTCCCGCTCCTGAGCCTCTGGCAGGGAGGGGCCTTCCCAGGAACCCCTACAACTCCAAGGTGGGCGCCAAAGCCGTCCCTTTCCCCCCTTTCCCCGGGGTCCCGCCTCCCCTCTGACCCACCCACCCCGAGGCCCCGCTCCCCAGGCTCAGTGGCACTCCCCGTCACCCTCGGGGTCGGCACAGGGCAACCCCCCCCCCCACCGGCCGGGCCTGGGCCTGCCTGTGGGCATGAACCCCCCCTGATTCCCAGCTGCACCCCCCACCCCCCACGCTGCCCTGAGGGTCAGGGGTGGCAGCCTGGGGGAAGGAAAGACACAGACGCGTTGTGGGGGGCAGTGAGCAATCGTGTTAACCTCGAGCGCCAGCGGGGGGCTCTCACAGGGGGGCCCCAGCACTCAGTCGGTGCAGCAGGGCCTGCAGCTTCTCCGACAGCGCCACCTGCAGGGACGAGAGGAGGGGGCACTGGGTGGCCGCCGGGGGCAGAGGGCGCCCAGGCGGGGGCAGAGGTGGGTCCTCCACCCACCTGGTATGGTGCAGGCTGCTCCAGCCGCCTGTGATCGGGGCTGAGGCGGCTCAGGCACAGCTGGGCGAAGGCTCTGGACTCGGCCAGAGACGGGAGTGGCTCACACAGCTGGGGCGAGAGGGAGGGAGAGGGCTGGCTCAGGGCCCGGCGTCCGGGCTGGGTGCGGGCGGCGGGTGCAGGCGAAGGGATGGGCAAGGTGGTCACCTGTCCCTGCTGGACCCAGAGCTGCAGGAGGGGCTCCACCTGGGCCGGCCGCACAGTGCAGGGCTCCCGGGCCCCTCGTGGCCAGACCCTCAGCTCCTGGCCGGCCTGGGGCGGGGGCTCCTCGGCCAGCTGCAGCACGTCCAGCAGCGGAGTCCCTGTGTGTGGGCGGCACAGAGAGTGACGTGGGGGCCCGGGGCTCTGCAGGGGGGGGGGGGTGGGCAACAGGAGGGGCGCCTCACCGTCGGGGCCCAGGAGCCGGAAGGCGGCCTTGCTCCCTGGCAGCGTCTGCTTCTCGGGGTCTTCAGTCAGCTTCATCCGCGGCTGGCCGCCCACGGACACCAGCTGTGGGGCGGGGTGTTGAGAGAGGGGCCTTCTCCCCGTCCCTGCCCCCCATGGCCCGCCCCCCAGGCCCCAGGCCCGTCTCCACCTTGTAGACGCAGCCCAGAGAAGGCTGGCGGGGGCAGGTGACCACGCTGGTGCCGATGCCGATGACGTCCACCTCGCTGCCCTGGGGGACGGCGGGGGAGGAGAGGCCCTGAGCTCAGGCAGCATGTGCAGGCCCAGGGACCCCCAGGGACCCCCACACACCCCCCGCCCCGCCCCACCTCCTGGGCCAGCCGGGCCAGCTCCTCCTCGTCGATGTTGTTGCTTACAGCGATGGGGACCGACTGCAGCCAGGGTGCCTGGAACCTGTGTGTGGGGGGGGGGTTCCCAGAAGTGCTGACGACACCTCCTGTGGGAGAACCTGCCCTCACCCACACCAGCCCCTGGGTCTGCACTGAGGGAGCCCCAGACTAGAGCTCCCATGGTGGGAAGGGCAGGGGGCAGGGGGCAGGGGGCAGGGTCCCTCCGGGGCAGGGTCCCTCCCTCCCTCCGCCCCATCCCAGCGTGGGTGCCCCTGCGTGGGTCTCTCAACAGGCACAGCACCCCCACCCGGCCCCGGCCCCAGCCCCAACCCACTGGGCTGCAGTGGTCCGGAAGAGCCCGCGGATCTCCTGGGCTTGCTGGAGCAGGTCGCCACTGTCCAGCCGCACTCCCACAGCCCGGTAGCCCAGCTCGCCCAGGGCCAGGGCGACGGCCAGGAAGTTGGGGAGGCCGCTTCTGCAGGCAGGGGCAAGCGGGTCGGGAGGCTGCAGCTGCTCTGCTGCGCCCCCCGGGGGTGCCCGGGCCTCACCTCCTCACACTGTAGGTGTCCAGCAGGCCCTGGAAGGCCCGGGGAAAGGCCAGGGCATAGGCCACAAAGGCTGCCCGCTCCCCCGGGTGTGGCTCCTGCACCCCCAGCCCCAGGTGGGCGCACACTCGCTCCAGCCACGCCTCCACGAGGGTGGCCAGATCCACCCTGGGGCCCTGACCGGCAGCCGGAGCCAACATCTAGGGAGAGGGATCAGGGAAGGGTTGGGGACCCCGAGTGCAAGGTGGGGTCTGGTTCGCACCTGGCTGAGGGTCTGATTAGGGGTGATGCCACCTGCCTGCCACCTTCCCAGTGCAGCACCGGCTACCTGCCCAGAGTGGCCTGGCGGCCCAGCAGCGTCGTCTGCCCTGGAGCAGAGCAGGGACCGGACCACCCCTCCCCCAGGCAAGGGCAGGCCTTGGAGTCTGCCCTCTGGAGTTCAGCAGGGCAGAGAAGGGTACTGACCGGGTCAGGGGGCACCTCGGTGCCTGAGAAGGACGTGACGAAGGAGTGTGCCAAGGTCCCCGCCACCGGCACCCCCCTCAGCTGTCCCGCCAGCACGTTGCTGCTGCCGTCGAAGCCTAGGCCAGAGCAATGGGCAGGGCTGGGGGACCTCAGGCCGTGGGGAGGCGGGGCTCTCAGGCCGGGCCTCCCACTTTGCCGCCCTGCCCTCGCCTGGCCCTTACCCCCCAGGTAGCTGTAGGTGGAGGCCGTGAGGCCCCCGTCAGGGCCCTGAGCGCGCCGCAGCCCCATCTCCAGCAGCCGCTTCTTTGGACCCGCGATTAGGCGAAGCCGCGCCGCGTTGGTAGCGATCAGGCTGTGGGGAGCAAGTGAGCAGGGGACCCTGCGCCTCAGCCGCGGAGGAGCTCGGACCCAGCGCACAGAGCCACACCCACACCCGCAAGGGCCGGCCCTCGGAAGTCCGAGCTCCAGCTCGGTCGCGCCGGGCGGCCGGTGGGCCCCACCTGGCATAGCTGACTAGGCAGAGGAGGGGAGTCTCGAGCAGCTGCACCACCAGGAGCGGTCCCGACACCTGCAGCAGCGGTACCTGTGGGCAGGGGGATGTCAGCTGGCAGCCGCACGACCTCCTTCAGGTCCACCCCTCCGCCCCACTCAGCCCGCACTCACGCCGGGGAAGGCGAGCGAGCCCTCGGGCAGGGCCCGCACCGTCACCCCGGAGCAGTCGATGGCCCGGAGGTGCTCGAAAAACGCGGGGTCAGTGTCTGGAGGCAACACCGAGGCCAGGAACTGCACATCTGGGGGCGACAACGTCACTTACGGGCTGGGGCAAGCGTGCAGGCGTGGGGGGGGTATGGAGGTTGGGGGGCTTCGTTTAAGCACGGGAAAGGCTCGTCGGGGTGTCTTGTTGGGGATGGGGGCGCTCGTCGAGCAGGAGGGGCCTGTCTGGGGGCTGGGGTGCCTGGCAATGAAGTAGGGGGTACCTGCGTCGCGCAGGTGGAAGGTGCGCAAGAAGCGCAGGCAGTCGCGCAGCCCCGCGGCCAGGGCGAATGCGCCGCCGAACGGGCAGTGGCGGAAAAAGAGCTCAAACTCGGCGAGGTCTTGCGCCCGGCCCGCACGCCAGTAGCCCAGCGCCATGGTGGCCTGGTAGAGGTCGGTGAGCAGCGGTCGCGCCGCCGCGCGCCCCTCGGGGTCCTGCTCCGCCATCTTGCCGCGGCGCCCGGACTCCGGCCTCCCCGCCCCGCTGGCCCACGTGACACCGCCCAGCCCAATAGAGCCCGTACCCGAGCCTACAAATCACGACGCGCCGCAACCCGCAACCTCCGAGGGTGGGGACACCCCGGAA